CTACGGAGATAATACAGATCAAGAGTATTTTCTTGCATAAATCAACTTATAGATTGTCGTGGATAGAAAAAAATATTGAATTTTGCATAAGGCTGCTTTATATCAGAGACTCTTGATCTTCTGATCATATTTCTACAAATCGGTCTTATTTGATATACCTAAACTTTAATATTCCAACATAAGTCCGACAAATTGGGTGTTCTGAGTATCCAGCCTTAGTCCAAGAATATTAATCAATCCGAAAAAGTAAAGCAATCATGTCTGCGTTGTGTCAAATCATCAGTCGATTGAACGATTGGTCGACAATTTGGCGATTGAACAATACCGTATTCGGTTATTGCAAGTTGTGGACGCTACGAAAAGTTAGGATTTACAACTACTCGTTTAACAAAATGAGGTAGAAAAATGCATAGCGTTATTTGCCAATTATAGTGTTGCTCAACAGTTCGATTTCTCAACCAATCTTTCGATCAAGCTATGGAGACTACAATATGAGTGTATAATGTATATACTCAGTGTGAATATTCATATTGCATATGTATATTTAGATGCAGTGAAACTATCGGACTGCAATATACACGTATAATGTATATATTTATATATATACACACGTTCTTTATAGGTATATCAATATTGTAGTGTGAATCATGCCAAAAGTAAAGATTTGCCTAAACAATTTAGGTACATTTGATTTTTATGAACGGTTATAATATAGTCCTTACTCACCACATTTGGTGAAAGACTTGGATTCCAGGTATAGCAGAAGCTAAAAGACAAATTTAATCAAAAACAGAAATTCATCATTTAAGCATGACCATTGTGAAATGTGATCATATAAAGTGTATTTTAACTCTATAAGGTCATCTAATGCAGGAATATAAATGAAATTAAAAAGCGATCCGATGAACAGTGAAGAAGTTGAATATTGCTCCCACTAAATCGCTCGCCCGAATCAGCCCCCTTTCGTATATCCTGCTTCCTAGTGAGGCAATTGGTGGGTGCTATATCTATTAAATTTACTTGTATAACCCTAAAATGGTGTCAAGAGTCAAAACTCAAGAGACTAAAATAATTATTATCTATTTAATTCGCGTTTTTGACACCACTTGGGGGTCCAAATTTTGGGCACTAAAATTCTTATTCCTTGGCAAATTTTTTATTTTTTTCATGCTGATTTGAAGGCCATTAAGTTGTGTACGGTTTAAGTTGTTGACAGTTTCTGCGGAAAGTCGTGTTAAAGTTGATGCCGTGGTGTCAGTAAAATGGTTCGGATATATACATATATATCGTCTCGCTTTATATATACAACCAGTTTATATATACAGTAAAATTGAGTATTATGTATCGTGATGGAAATATTTTAAGCGGGTAAAAGCCTGTCTAAACCCAGGCTACATAACATAAAGACTTTGTTGTAAATTGTATGAAAAGCATTAATATAATATATATATATATATAATCTAGTAGTAGTGTATTAACAGTATGACACATATTGTCGGAACATGTAAAGACAAAGTGCGAGCAAGCAAATGCACTCTCGCGGGAACGGACGGACGCTATAATAGTTCACGACACAATGTAACACGTGACTCTGAACCATGGTTCCTGATCTAGGACGCACAATGGGGATTAATGAATGTTCTATTATACATGGGGACTGTACAGCTTCGAGAGCCGGGGACTATCGACCATTCCCACACTGATCATACCGGGGGTCTGCCTTCAAGTTGGTTTGGCGTATGAACCTGAAAGTAGGCTTTAGAGGACTATAAAAGGGTCCACCTTTAAATTGAGCATACAGGATGTACGTCCATTGTTCAAGTCGTTGATTTTAGCCGAACTATAGTATGCTAGCCAAGATGATGATAAAAATGCTCAGAATGACGTTATCTTACTCGACGAAGAAAGGAAAAATACATTACCCGGAACACAATGCACTTGCATGAATGCAAGTTGGCAACGCCTACAATATCCTCATATCCAGCTATTAAATTTATGTTATACATGCGTGGCCGGTGGGATATGATCTTAATGGACATTGGACAACACTGCACGTGACATTAGTTTTGCTGCTTGGTCGATCAATCTAGTTCAATCGAACTAAACCATAAATCTGATGATTTAAATCCGGTCTGGTTTCAACAAAATATCGGATATTAGCTGATCAGCGTTTAGACAATTCTCAAAATTTGGCATTTTTGGCTTTATGCAATTCAGCGACTTTTTGTCTTTGTTTAAGAAAATGGTTTCAAGCGGCAAAAAAAGGTAAAAAAGTGACAAAAAAGTATCAAACAGCTTAACTCCTAAGCCCTAAAAAGTAAAAAACGACCAAAAATGATATGAAAAGAAATTCAAATTCCCAACCACACAGTCTGAGCAGTCTCATAGTACTTGTTAGTCTTTACTCGCTTGCAATCACCATGATTCATGATGATGTCGTCAAGTGACAGATTATGGAACCCCACCCATACACGTACTAATTGCCTTTTATTCAATATATATTTATATATAGTAGTGTACGTCATGCAGTAGTCAAATTTATGGCTTTTACTAAATCGCTCGCCCAAAAATTTCACGTGACTTTGGTTTTTTTGGTTTTGCAGCCGTACAAAACGGTTTTACATAAACCCTAATCCCAACCCTAACCCTAACCGTAACCCCGAAGCTATCCATAATCTTAACCACAACCCTAACCCTAACCCGAGCCCTAAATAATCGAATTCACGTTTTACTAGCCTGTCACGTGACCAAAACGGTTTTTTGCCCATAACTCTCCAGGGAAGCATTTTAACCCTACGTCATGGGGGGTGATTCGGAATCAGTGTCCAAAAATACACCGATCCAGATCACTCTCATGCCTAAAGGGCCTTTTCACAAGAATTTTCTTAAAATTTGGGCGAGCGATTTAGTAGGAGCGCAAATTTATAGATTGGTTATGTAGTCCGGCTGAAAAAAGTCTATTAGACAACTTTCGAAACTTTGTTTCGATTACAATTTTACTTTTACATTTTAATCGATTACATTTTATTTTTCCATTTTAATCGATTACATTTTATTTTTGGTTCACTAGAGGCAGAAAATAGATATACGTCCATGCTGTTCAACACTCGGAATTCAAAATCATTGTGTGCAAAGTTGTTTTTTTCCCATTTTATTTAATACCAAGGATCGTGCAGATTTTAAACCTAAACAGTAAAGAGGACAATATGAGCCGATCACGTCAGCTGCCTATTAGATTGGAGAAGTATTTACCACCCGATATTCATTATTCAGCGATATTGCCACTCTACATATTGTTAATTAATTATTAATTATCTCATGACATGGGCAAGAACTAATAAGATGAAGTTTCATCCTGATAAATGTAAGGTCTTAGCTATACTTAAGAGGTGGTCTCCCTTAGATGGCATTTTACCATTTACACGTTACACTTACTCTATGGGCCAAACTCTTCTTGATTATACAGATTCTGAAAAAGATTTAGGCATAATCATGACGTCTAATCTAAATTTTAATAGCCAGGCCGATGCTCTATATGGTAAAGCTAACCAAAAATTTGGCATGCTTAAGAGAAATTGTCATTTTATTAATGATCTGAACAAGAGAAGAGTCTTGTATCTTACTCTTGTACGCTCAATATTCGAACACTGTCCCATCATTTGGCGACCAGCGTCCAGTAGCACTATCAATATGCTTGAAGGATTGCAGAAAAGGGCCCTCAAATGGATTCGTAATGATTACGGTGTAAGCTATAGTGTAGAGGAAATCTATAATGCCCATTGTAAACAGTTAAATATTCTGCCCCTAAAGTACAGGTTTGATTACCATGATCTCAAGTTCTTTCATTCCCTAGTGCATCAATACCACCCATGCACCACTCTGCCTCATTACCTTACTTTCTTCTCCGGGTCAAGCCGACTGAGAAGCTCACATCTTTATCACTTATCAGTAATATCTTCAATTCCACCTGGCTCAGCTATATCTAAATCTTACTTTTATCGAGCTCATCTCACTTGGAACCGACTTCCTCTTTCCCTTCGAGAGATTATCAGACCAGGTGTGTTTAAAACAGAACTTATTAAACACATCTGGAAGGAACATGTTTGTACTGCATCTGTAGATAATGACCCTAGTTCAGATCCTGACAATTCTTTTTCTCCTGACTACGGGTAGTGTATTTCTCTATTATTTTTGTTTTTATTTTTTTGAGGTACTCATCACGCATTTTTGCTTTATTCGGATACAATTTTGATTTAGTCTTTTATATTCAATTATTTAAATTTTATCGTTAAAACTTCATTCCATTGGAAATATTACAAATCAGCCAATTGTAATTGAGAATTTTTGGGTTGTGGCAATTATTCTTAAAAACCTAGAAATGCCTCCTAAGTTCACAGCTCATATTATTTGCCCATTTTTCTCCTTCTGCACTTGGGGCCCAATGTAATTGCTCGACTTTTCATCAGGTCTCTCGAGGCCTTTTGTTTGGTTATTTGGGTGTATTGGTGTCCCCTGATTGTTATCATCGCTGTACACTTGTCAAGGCATTTTTTGGTTTCTCTAGTCCATTTTTAGAAATTCTATACAACATTGATATTGTAATAAATTATGATGATAATAATTGAAAGATTTCAATAAAAAAGTGCGTGATTCGTAACGATACCATTATAGACTACAGTACTAATAGAACTAATGGAAAAATAACTATTTTTGTCATGCAAACTTGCAAATATGCAAACATTATACTTGAAATTAGTTTTGTATTTACGTGAAAAGAATCAACAAATTTTCCTTGCGGTCTTAGCCCCATGTTGATGTACCTCAAAGTCAATATTTCTTGCCCTGATTTAACGAGAATTGATTCACAGTCACTCGCTGAAGTTTGCAGGGCTGAGTGTAAATTAAAACCTTCAGTTCGGTAAGATAAGGTCGCCGAATGACGGTCATGAAATGAATAGTCGAATATAACCGAGTATTTCAGATAACCGAATCAATCCATTAAATGTAATCCTGGTACTCTAATTTTCAATTAAGTGTATCGATTGGTAATTCAGTATTCGGCATTATATAGGTTCTACCGATTATTTTAAAATTTGATTCGCCGAATAATTTTACCATTAAACTGATTTATTTTAGACGTTCAAATATGTCTAAATAAGTATAACCCAGATTAATAACACTTATAGCATAAAAGAAAATGAGGGCATTGAGATCGAATCTTTTGTGAATGAGAGAAGTGCATTAAATTTAAAGGCTCATTTACAAAACTGATAGGTGAATATTCTTTCTCTCAGCTCGATCTCAATGATCTCATCGTATGAAGCTAATCAGTTAGACAGTCAAAGAATGGAATAATTCACTACTATCAGTTTAATTTTCCATTTTAACATTGAACATCGTACAGCACTCATTCACTCATTGCGAAATTGTTTGGAAAATTTTCGATACGTAAGGTTTAAAGTTTTCAATATTTTGTGATTCTGAATTCCGATATTTATATTCAATATTTCGAGATTTCAAGACTTCATGACTTGAAAACTGAAAATCTAAACCATTTTGTCGCAGGTTTAGCAACCCAATGACGTACAATTTCAACACCAGACGTTAAGCAATCTGACGAATAGCAGACATAATAGAAACACACCATAAACCCCTCCCATTAAAATCATAAAAAGAGGAGCAACCCAGTAAGACATATTAGCGTTTAACGCGGAGCTGCTTCTTATATCATGTTAACTCACCGGGGACGTGCGCGGCTCCTGACACGTGACCGAGACGAGGAAATCATCAACACTCAGATAAAACTGCTGACACAGTTCCGACCATTTGTCAAGTCACTACTTCCGGCGTCCTGCTTAACGTGCGACAAGTGCAAAGCAAAGAAGCTGTTGGATCAGGAGAAACAGTTTCAGGATATACTGAAGAAAGTGGGCGTGGGAGAGAAAATGACGTCACACTCTGTTTTACCGGATATAAAAAGGTGCAAAAGCGCAGGTTAGACTATTGTCTAGTTTTAGCTTTGAGCGATTTCTGCAAAATTCAATTTACCGCTTTATTCATGATGTAATTTTGAAAATTGAGGATGAAGGACTATTGAACTTTGCAAGCATACCTAATGAAGGTAGCGAAACTCTATTCAAATATAAATTAATTAGGTTATTTTATCCAGTCATGATCAGTATCACGCACGAGCGTGATACTTATCAGTTTTAAACGATTTCTGCAAAATTCAATTTACCGCTTTATTCATGATGTAATTTTGAAAATTGAGGATGAAGGACTATTCAACTTTGCAAGCATAATGAAGGTAGCGAAACTCTATTCAAATATAAATTAATTAGGTTATTTTATCCAGTCATGATCAGTATCACGCACGAGCGTGATACTTATCAGTTTTAAACGATTTCTGCAAAATTCAATTTACCGCTTTATTCGTGATGTACCTTAGTGCAAGAAATATAGGCGGCAAGAATATAAGGCGCTAGAAATTAAGGCGGCAAGAAATTAAGGCGATATTTTTTTTCGGAAAAAATACGATTTTTGATCGCAAATTTGGTTATAGTTTTGGTCGAAATAGTGTCAATTTTATTCTTTTATCAGTCTATAAAGCATAGAAATCTGTTTAAAAATACGATATATTGGACATTGGTCACATAAAAACTAAATGGTGCATGCACATTATATTTATAGTGATTGCTGTTCTGTCGTCTAAGTTTATAATTTTAAATTAGGTAGACATCCACTACATCAGCAAACTGCAAGTCAATTGGTATATTCATTGTACGAAAAGTACAGCTTCGACAAACGTTTGGAGGATGAATCAGCTGATATTATCAAGAAGCTATTTCCAGACACGACGGAGCAAGATGACGACGACTATCTTGGTTATGGATTGCAGCTGCTGGAGATATATGACTCTGATGAAGAAGGAGAAGACGAGAATATTAATTGATATATTAATGTATTTAGACTCAAGTTAATTTATTTTAAATATGTATTTCATTGAATTCTAGCAAATAACGAAATCGACATGTAAATTTAAAATAATAAAATCACACGAAAATTTCTTATGAAAAAATCGCAAGAAAAAAAATTAAGGCGGTTAGAAATTACGGTGGTCAGATATTAAGGCGGCAAGAAATTAAGGCGATTTTGTCAGAATCGCCTTAATTTCTTGCCGCCTATATTTCTTGCACTAAGGTAATTTTGAAAATTGAGGATGAAGGACTATTCAACTTTGCAAGCATAATGAAGGTAGCGAAACTCTATTCAAATATAAATTAATTTGGCTATTTTGTCCAGTCATGATCAGTACCACACACGAGCGTGAATTTTGGGTACACATTTATGGAATTAAATAGTTCGAGATATTTAAAATGGAGGGATCTTTAGAGATTGAAGACAACTATTTTTATACTCTTGCTGAGTGCTGACGAAGGACATTCCATTCGCATAGTCACAATTATTGATTGTAACACGGAAAAGCTGGAGAGCATTTTGAGCTGATCGAATAGCCAGGACATTTGTTTGGATGATGAAGTATTAGCCGCTATAGCTATGTTGCTGGATTATGATAGACTTAAATCGAACCTTAACTTCAGGGATAGACCAATTAAACTTCAAGGAACTTAAGGTCACAATCTCTAGATACTATGCAGCAATTGAACCCCAGTTACAAGGTACCCATTGGTCTATAGATGTACCTGATAACGAAGAGTGTAATTGCAACTGCTCTAGAGAAAACGGCATGACCTCCTTTGATCTCCCTTGTAAACAGGGGGTTCCGGCTAAGTACCAGATCTAGGTATACTTTAACCAATTTTACCCATGTGAGCACGTTTCCCCCAAGTATCACTATCATCATCCCTGGAAGTTCTGGTGCAGCCACCATTGCAAATCATGCGTAGATACAGATACTGTCGGCCATGTGCGGTGCTTGTTAACATACAGGAGTGCTAAACCCACATGGGTTACTGGGGTCAGATGCCAATTAGTATTTTTCATCTAAATTGCAATTGCTTTAAATTACTTTAAATGGTTTTTTAAAGTCAAAAAATGTTTTTTTTTTGGAACACTCATTTTTATCTTGACTGTCTGGAAATTAACCGCGCATATAAATGATGAATTGAAATTATTATGACAATGTATTTATCTAATGAGTCGCCATATAAAAAAACAAAAGTGGAAAATAAATGTCTCAAATTATTGCAGGGTCACAAAAGAAGATCACCAAAGAGAGTAGGCTGAATCCCCGATTGGTGCTTCAGAAAACAAACCGACAGCGGCAATCCAAATCAGGTGCGTCGCAACTCTGAATTTATGCGGTGACTCATGGCGGCTAAACGGTGGACAGTTAATCACGTAAGGTAACGTGTCACCCTGGTAACGTGTCACCCTGGTAACGTGTCGCCCTGGTAACGTGAGGTGTGATTGGAACGTCAAATGAGTGCTATATGTTTGGCAGTTCGATTGTTAAAGCTAAATTTGGTTGCATAAACCATGGTACTGGTAGCTGCCAAGTTGACTTTTCACTTGTAATACTTTTATAGGGATCCGGTACGGGGGCTATATTATAATTATGTTAATTATGTTATTAACAACATTCGATTGTTAAAGCTAAATTTGGTTGCATAAACCATGGTACTGGTAGCTGCCAAGTTGACTTTTCACTTGTAATACTTTTATAGGGAGCCGGTACGTGGGCTATATTATAATTATGTTAATTATGTTATTAACAATAACATTTACGTCGACTTTTGGGCAAACCTGTCATTAATATTTATGAAAGCGAAGATGTTTCAGGATATTTATCCCTGCATCGATGCCTTTTTGGAATACGAAATAACTGACCTCAACATTTTGAAAAATTATCTTAAATTTGTTTGTCAATTTGATCATAAACTTAAACGAATGAAGAGGAACTTAAATTGATTTGATTTAATGTTAAATTACCGATTAAACTCATATTTAATGAGTTAATTTACCTTATCGGACTTTATTTGAACTGTCATTAATTGGACCCTGGAAGCCCTAATGTTCATTTTATTGTCCGTTTAAATAAAATCCGACAAGGTAGTTAAATTCGATATATTAAATGAATGCCTTTGAAATTTAAGCGTTCATTTTAATGTCCGTTCAAAATTATGTCCGTTCAAAAAATGTCCGGTCAAATAACATTTAAGGTAGCTTAAATGCGACCACCAATTTCAAACCTTGCTACAATTACAGCTTTTTAAACTAATAACGTTAAATAAAATATATTTCAAGCTCGTGAATGTTTATAAAAAAATCGAAATATTCTTATTCAACGTTATAGAGACTGGGAAAACAAAATATAAATCTCAGGAGGACTTATAGTTTCAGTTGAGACAGCTGCATTAACTTACTGTTGGGTAACTATCTGGAATCAGATATTTTATTGGCTCTATCTTAACGTAGGAGGTACTTCTTTAGACTCAGTGAATACAGATTATAGTGGAAATAAATAGTTAAAGAAATAGTTATATACCTTACGAGACATACTCGACGAAATTCCGGCGACCTAAATGATCTGGGAACGAAAATATGGGATTTTTTGCCGAAAACCAACTTATTTCATACCCCAAATTAAATCATGGTATTTGGGGATTTTTTCATTTCTTAATATTTTACAAACATAAAACCCAATATGAGAAAATCAATAAAATAAAATATGAAATTTGAAAAATTACAAATAAATTTCTTCTTGATCTTCATGATCTTCTGGTTCAGGGACATTCTTCTCTCCAGTGCAGTCCCAGGTGTAATATAATACTACTACTAGTGTTCATTTGTTAGATGAATCATATTGATAGCTTACTATATAAGTATATACATAGATAGTAAATCGACAAAGTCATGATTAAAGAAAATACGTGAAAAATAATTTGGGGGAAAAAATTATGGTGACCCAAATTTTGGTAATGGTAGTCCGAAAATATGGTGTTTTTTTTTCGGAAAACCACCGACTTTCGTACCTTTTTAATATTTCTCGTAAGGTTATCTGTCTTCACTGAGTCTATTCAGAAACAATCAGAAATTTGAATTAAAGAAACATGTAATCATTAAACTCAATAATAATATAATAAAGTAATAATACACGACTCAATAAGTGAGAAGTACCTAGATGAGTTGGCCATCTGCAGATTTTCCTTATCGGACCTTATTTAAACGGACATTAATTGAACGCTGGAGGTTCTAGCGTTCATCTTAATGTCCGTCCAAGTTAAAGTCCGTCCGTTTAAGGTCCGTCCAAGTTAAAGTCCGTTGAGATTTTTCCAAAATTATTCCACTGCGAAATCATGTTTAGGATATGACAACTTTTTAATTTCAGTCAATCGTAATTTCTATCATCGGATTCGGACTGAACTATATCATTGGATGAATGAAAAACGAGTTATTATACAATTTATCATGTCATAAGTATTACATTAAGGCATGATCACTTTCTTGATCTTCGGCTTCCTCGTTCACTTCTTCGGAGTTATTATTTACCTCCACATCTTTTAAAAGTTTACACTGAAATGCAGCACCGAGGTGGTAAAATACAAAATTGTTTTCAAAAAGCAGGTATTACTGATATGATGCTTTAAGCATGGAATATTTAATGCACGATAACCCATTTGAGAAAGATCACCTGTGATATGATCATCAAATCTGGTAATATTTCGTATCTGTTGTTTCTACACAACTTTTATAATCATAGACACTATTATTATTATAAAACAGGATCTTACCGACAAAAATGATTCTTAAAAATACCTTAATGCGGTAAACTGTACCCTTGAAAAAGATTTTCCCAACATCTGTTGCATGCAGCTATATCTCTAATTTCGTTCAATTCATGCAAGTTGTCCATTTGCAAATTTCTATTACTTAAATCACTTCTTAAAACCGATAACAAGTTCATTCTAGACACTGATCTACAAATATTTTGATATTTTTTACTGCTTAACGACTGCCTTTCTTGCTTATTGTATGAAAAATTAGTTTACAGATTATCTGCTAAAATTTTAAAAACGACAAAAAAAGGATGACAAAATTTGGAGTTTTTGATGGTTTTGAATTCCTTCGAGCGTTCATTTTATTTTAATGTCCGTTCATAATTATGTCTGGTCATTTAACGTCCGGTCAAATAAGGTCCGATAACTATAAGGTACGTCCATTCTTTACTCGTCTTAAAGCAAAATGTATTTAGGCAAGCCGTGAAAAGATTAAGGACAAGACTGCACTCCAAATATTTGCACGGCTACATCAATGCAAGTATCTATCATTCAGTATTATATGGGGTACGTTCTACTTCTTGGGAGAGGTTGCCAATTCAAGTTCAATGCCACTTTGACAACACCTTACACCATACGCCCATAATATAAGTGGCGCAGATATAACCGACCCGTTTTACCATGACTACACTAAATTATCCTCGACAAAGTGGAACATGGCCTGCTGATCTGTAAATTGGAAAATAATTAATCAGAATGAGAAGCTTTTTAAGTGGGTAGAATTATTTCTACCTGGCCGTCTTTGTACGTTTAGTAATAAGCAAAATATAATGTCACTGTAAAGGGACTAGGGAGTAGGGAGCGTTGCCTGGCACGCCAATCCCTGTGCGTGGCGCTCTTGTCAAGTTGTATCCGTTAAAGAAGCAAGAAATAGATTAGCAAGCTAGGTAAAGGGGTGCGTTAGACGATCATCATTACGTAATTATATGGAAACTCCTGCAACAACGCTTCAGGACAAATTTCTGGAAGATTGACGTGTCAACTATAAGTTCAACCACTTTAACCCACCAGCTGTCTCAAATATAAGTTCAACCACTTTAACCCACCAGCTGTCTCAAATATAAGTTCAACCACTTTAACCCACCAGCTGTCTCAAATATAAGTTCAACCACTTTAACCCACCAGCTGTCTCAAATATAAGTTCAACCACTTTAACCCACCAGCTGTCTCAAATATAAGTTCAACCACTTTAACCCATCAGCCGTGTCAACTATAGGTTCAACCACTTTAACCCACCAGCTGTCTCAACTATAAGTTCAACCACTTTAACCCACCAGCTGTCTCAACTATAGTTCAACCACTTTAACCCACCAGCTGTCTCAACTATAGTTCAACTACTTTAACCCACCAGCTGTCTCAACTATAAGTTCAGTCACTTTAACCTACCAGCTGTCTCCACTGAAAATTGATTTAGACAAACTGAGACGGAGTAAAAACTGGCGCTCTGGTCAGAAAACATTTAAGCTCGTTATGCAGGTCACGAGGTTAGGTTATATGCCTGGAGTAACCACAGACTAGGATTAGCACAACTTTGACTTAAATAGCGGCAATATTCAGCTCGCTAGGTACCGCAATATTGTAGGGGACCAGTTATATGCACGTCAATAGTTATAATTATCGAGCGTGCTAAATCACTTTATACTCGAACTTCGAGATGTTCCTATAATTCTAATTTCTTGTTAGGGGTAGGGTTTTATCATATGCATTATGCATCAGTATGAGTAATTGATTGGGTTAGGGTTACTACCGGTTAGGGTTGGTTACTACCGGTTAGGGTTGGGGTCAGAGTAGATGGCTAGGGTTTTAAATAGCCCCTCAAGGCTATCAAACGTGTTTATGTAAGTCACGCGATAGTAAAATAATGAATACCAATTACCAAATGGTATGACAAATGCAATTCAGCATATTGATATTAAGTTAAAATACCCGACTGCCCTATATGCGACATGACCAAATCAGACAAGGCTTTGCGATCAATGTGGATGGTTCCTGGAAACTAAACTAAAGTGTATAGTATTAGTAGCTATCGGAATATGAACTAACTGTAAAAGTGAAACTAAAACGGCATGACCTCCTATTTTAAATTTAAATTTAGGAAGTTATATTGGAGGACTTCGCCGCTTCGACGCGCCGCGCAAACTATCATTGACATTCTTACTTCGCATCGAGATCGTTGCTGTTAATTCGCAGAGCAACGATCTGGAAGGGCCAGGGTTGAAATCGTCAATCAAGTAGTTATATCGTTATATAGTTACAGTTGGTTCTGTTAAACTGCTACTTACAGTACAATGTACATCTAATCTTACGGGGAACTCCCTTGATGGTTAACCCTGTTTGTATGCTAGATGGCAGGGGGCAAAACATCTAATAATAAGATCACGAGTGGTTAAATCGAATCAAAGTGAAAATCGACATAATATTCACAACTCTCAATCTAACACAATATTGCAACAGTGTTGGAGTGGCTCTCTCTCGACATATTCACAACTCTCAATCTAACACAATATTGCGACAGTATTGGAGTGGCTCTCTCTCGACATATTCACAACTCTCAATCTAACACAATATTGCAACAGTGTTGGAGTGGCATTTATTCACAAATCTCAATCTAACACAATATTGCAACAGTGTTGGAGTGGCATTTATTCACAAATCTCAATCTAACACAATATTGCAACAGTGTTGGAGTAGCTCTCTCTCTCGACATATTCACAACTCTCAATCTAACACAATATTGCAACAGTGTTGGAGTGGCTCTCTCTCGACATATTCACAACTCTCGATCTAACACAATATTGCAACAGTGTTGGAGTGGCATTTATTCACAAATCTCAATCTAACACAATATTGCAACAGTGTTGGAGTAGCTCTCTCTCTCGACATATTCACAACTCTCAATCTAACACAATATTGCAACAGTGTTGGAGTGGCATTTATTCACAAATCTCAATCTAACACAATATTGCAACAGTGTTGGAGTAGCTCTCTCTCTCTCGACATATTCACAACTCTCAATCTAACACAATATTGCAACAGTGTTGGAGTGGCATTTATTCACAAATCTCAATCTAACACAATATTGCAACAGTGTTGGAGTAGCTCTCTCTCTCGAAATATTCACAACTCTCAATCTAACACAATATTGCAACAGTGTTGGAGTGGAATTTATTCACAACTCTCAATCTAACACAATATTGCAACAGTGTTGGAGTTGCTCTCTCTCTCGACAAATTCACAACTCTCAATCTAACACAATATTGCAACAGTGTTGGAGTGGCATTTATTCACAAATCTCAATCTAACACAATATTGCAAT